AGGAACGATAACCGGCAAAAGGCATGCTAAATCATAGGAGGACGCATGTTCTAGGCATTAAATGCGGAGGGTCAGGCATCTAATCAACTGTCAGTAACCTTCAAAAGGAATTTTAGTAATTTCCGCCAAAAGAAGATTCTCACCAACTTTCCGGTAACACAAAGTTATGTCACCGGAAAGTAGGGGGACTATCTGTATTGGATAAAATATGTTACGATACGTGGCCAACAAAGAAGGGGACGCGTGGAATCGAAGCCGGGAGGACAGAAAACTGGCACATCTACCTACTGTGTCACCGACAAAGGCAAGTCTATAAAGACATTAAGCACGATGCGCCACGTAGCATTTAATGAAGAATATTCCATAACATTAAAGAGTAACGGCTAATTACAGAAATTTAGGCATTTATGTTTACCATTAGATTTTCATTACCGCACTTCAATAATTGCCATTATGGGTGGGCCCAACCATTACACCCACTGAGCTATAAATAATAGGCTCAACGATCATTGTGAGACATGATTTTCTAGACATCAAAGAATTCTTCTAATACAACATCTTGATACTATTTTTCTAGCTGGTTGTTCTTATCATCATCGTACCCGAAAACTCTGTACCCGAGATCTCCATATCTATCGTTTTATCTACATTTGAGCTAAGTATCTTGCATCCAAATTGACTAATTCATTATCTTATGGGATAAAATTGATTCATTTGTCAAGAAACCACCTACAAATTCAACTGTACCATTTCCGGGTAAACAGTAACAAGCACTTACTTCAAAAGAATATATCATTTCAGATTTAAATTGTTTTGATAATAATAAAAGAGCATACATTAGCATATTTTTAACAAAACACAATGTATAGCAAAGTGGGTTCAATAACTTCCAATTTGAAGTAACAAAGTAGATGTTAGCACTGGAGATGCACCTAATTAACCACTAACGAAATAGGTATGAATTGTATACCATCTTCAGTACTATTAGGACGAGAAGAGTGTCTCAATGTAAATAAGAACACTTGGAGAGAGTGAATAGAATATCCACAAGTTGCGGTGTGTAGTGAAAATATCTTGTGGTGAATACTTAACTGCATTGGAGTTTATACCTAATTAAATTATTAACCTTAAATCATCAAATCAAAGTAAAAATGCATATCATTTAATAACCATGACTAAAATGTTAAAGATTGAATATCCAATTCTCCTCCGAACCCTTGATCGATTGTTTTGGAAGGAATTCACTTTTCCTCCACTTTTCTTTCTTCCATTTCCCATTCACCAATATTTAATCCCAACAATCACCCACTTGAATGGGGAATGACTATAAGACAAAGGAATGCACGAACGAGTATGTGATTTACATGTAAGGATTAATTACATCTCGATAAGTAGGTTTCCCTTTGAACTTTTCGAAGTGAACTTATATCAGATATACTCGGTCAATCGGTAGATTTGATATCTTTGAACCGTCGAGCTTTGTTGTATACCTAGACAATACAAGTCACACAATAAACCCTAAACCATCTATGGTTCTCACGGTTGTGTTCGTTTCAGCCATGAACACCGCCTGGTTTCATGAGTGCTTAGAGAATGGGCCTTTACTTTCATTTCCCTTGAAGCGGCTTATACTTCACACTCACATAGGTGATTTCTAAACGTGTAATCCTATAGACACACTATCTGGTCATATCCTGCTAGACTTAGTAAATCATTAAAAAGCTTTAAGCTTTATTGACTCATCAAAAAGCCTTAATGCTTTACCTTGATTTCTGAACATTGTCTTAATCACGAGAATGGGTTGAGTTATTTGACAATGTTGAACTGTCATTCATAACTTTGTTTGATCTCTTTGAACCTAGCTCTTGGGGTCTCCAGTCTGTTAGGTAGAGTTATCGCCATGATGACTTGTCCTAGGCCTTAACCCCATTCCCTTCGATGATCTTTCAAGTGCCTATCTTGATAGGCCTTTTGTAAGTGGATCCGACACTTTATCTTTTAACTTTACGTCGTCAATCGTGATAACACCACTAGAGAGTAGTTATCTAATAGTATTGTGTCTCCATCGTATATGACGAGATTTTCCATTATACATATCGCTCCCTGCCCTGCCTATTGCCGCTTGACTATCACAATGTATACATATAGGTGCCAAAGGTTTGGGCCAAAATGAAATATCTTCCAAGATATTCCGGAGCCATTCAGTTTCTTCACTGGCCTTGTCTAAAGTTATGAATTCAGATTCCATTATAGAACGGGCGATACACATCTGTTAGGATGATTTTCCAGTGTGTTTTACAACCATTGAGTGGTTCGCAGTTCATCAGAGTTTTTGATACCAATACACTGTTGAGTTAAATCGTTCTATCGTGGGAGGATAATATTCCAGCACCTTGGATACTTGAGGGAATAATTTTCTTAAGTACACACTGTGCATTCAGTGGGTTCGATTTATTCCTTTCAGATATTATTTCGACATTATGTTGCTGCTAACTTTCTGTTTTTGTTTTCTGTTTCAGAAAGATTATTGTTTCGTTATTTATTATAGTAATACAGATACCTAACAGAATGGAGGCTAATCGTTGAGCTCACTCTGGCCTCGCGGGGCAGGTCGAGCCCTTATGATTGCGAGCTGGAGCTTCCATAGCTTAGGGCTATAGCAATAAGAGGGCCCCAACAGAGATAAAAGTCGGAATAACGAGCGCACGCCTGCTTGTGTATACATGAGATATGTCTTATATTCATTTATTGTGAATTTTCTGTATTCATATACTAGCTCGTACTATAGATGGCCTTATCTTGGTTGGTCACCTTAAGTTGCCTCTACAGCTGTATGTTGCTTGTTATCCTCCTTTGGAGGTAATTGGTAATTTTTGTTCAGCTACTCAATCTTCTTGATTGTGATATGTTGCCAATTGACATAACTAGACTAATTGTGACATGGGAATGATGATTATATTATTACATGTCTAAAAAGGTTAGATTATATCTGCAAGTTAATGAAATTGAAATGTGCATCTAAGCCTAGTAATATAAGATAAAAGGCTGGATTTTACTTTGATACAAGAAATCTAGTAGTCACATGATTTCAGATTCACAGTACAAAATTAAGAATATTAAAAAGAGAAAAGTAATCAAAAGTGGGATATAGGGAATCAACCTAGCTAAGTGTGTGAGTTGGAGTTGGATCACGTTGAAAACTTATGCAAGTGATCCAAGAAAATTTGTACTTCCCAACGTACACTATACTACAAAAATTGAGACAATAAACAAATAAATAAAATGAATTATAAATGTAAATATGTAATGCTCTGGGGTAACAACAAATTTGGTAGCTCTGATCACATGAAGTCCCAATTCCCCTACAAACTAGTAAAATCCACCCACTATCGTATTATTTTCTCAATATTGTTGTGACTAAACTTTTTTCGAGTCGAGGTCCATCGAAAATATTATTTTTTTATCTTTATAAAATAGATGTAAGACTTTAAACTCTACTTATAAAATTATACTAGGTTTGATGTTGTTGTTGGTGATGGTGATGATGATACTGATGGATGCGATAAATTTAATCATTTTCACTCAAATATTATATTTATACTAATAAATTCACTTAATGTATATAATCCCAAATGCATTAAGCGAAAAAAAATTGATTCAAAATTTATAAATTACCCCTCTTAGTCCCCTTCCCCACAAATAACATACTATTTCATTAAATTATTCTCTAAAATATTTGACTCTCCAAACCGCCGACTCATGTCTCCTTCCTGGAAACACCACTTCCCTGCTACTCTCCAAATTTGCAAGCCACGTCATTAATTAAAAATTTAAAAAGGAATTATTGTGGGGCTCAAGGTAGGGTCCATACAAAAAAAAGAAGACACGTGGAAGCATGATTATTGGATACAACCTTAGTAGAGAGATTAATGTAAGGGAAGAAAGAGGAGGGTTGCACATGGGGGTAGTGTTTGGTTCGAGAAATTCATGTGATCACATGTGCTTTTCTTCTGTTTTTTCACTGTGGACCCCTATCACATCTGCGTCCCTATCCTGTTTTCCCTCTAGCCTCCCGCACCCGATCCAGCTGCCTCTTTCCGTTCCTACTTCCTACTCTCCTGTTTCACTGCCGTGACCTTCACTTGCTAGGATGAACGTGTTAGATTTATGTAACATCTGATTTCTTTTCTTTTCGTTTTTTTTTCCCCATATAAAATCAATTCAACTATGTGAATCGTTTCTACCGGAAAAAAAAAAAAAATTGAACCTGATTTTCAAAAGAATAAAAAAAGTGAAACATCTCACTGCGAATTGTTTTAAGATTTGATTTAGTACTTCTATGTTCTATTTACTTTGATGTTACTCAACATTAACTAAAAGTTCAATTTAATAGTAAAAACAAGATGTTTTATACTTTATTTTAATTAAAAACTATATAGACTTTACTACTCTGATACGAAAATGTTAAAGTATTCAATTATGATATGTGTTTCTTTGTACTCACTCATTCTCACTTGCTTGACATTCTTTTATATTTTCGTTCAAAAAAGACTAATATTATGTTAATTTTTATTTTGTCATTTACAATTGCCAGGAGACACATGTCTTGTTATCAGCTTCACTTGATACAAACAAGTTTGTTTAATACAAGGATACATTTGATATTTTATACACATCTAACTAATGTGTCAAATATTTTTATTTGTTTCTCATTCTCTGTCCAGACAAATTGAGACCATACATTAAGGTAAATAGCTACAAATATAGACGTGGGTTTCCCTAGCATTGGCGCGTGAAATTTCAGGCCGTGACAAATCAATATCCATCAGGGGTTTCAAAAAACCAAAAGCCCAATAAAATAAGGTAGGCCCAGCTTCGTTGGCAATTAACATTTCTAGAACTCATAACAATAATTTAACAGTCACCACCTCCACCTTCCCCCTATAAGCATCCCTCTTCTTCTCCTTCTCTTCTCCTCTCTTCACAATCCCCCNGAGAGTAGTTGTAAGAGTGAAGAAACAAGAACAGCATTAGCCACATTATCAAGAAAAGATCAGAAAATCACTCAAAAAAACTCCAAGAGGCAAAAGAGGATGAGAAATAATGTGTTGAAAGAAACTAGTAATAGTTGCAATACTGATAATGCAGGGAAAAATCAAGAAGAAGGTGATGACAAGGCTGAGGTGGAGGAGAAAATCTTGGCATTACAAAAAATAGTACCAGGAGGAGAATCACTTGGTGTTGATATGCTCTTTGAAGAAACTGCTGGTTATATTTTGGCATTGCAATGTCAAATCAAAACACTCAAAGTTCTTGCTAGCTTTGTTGAAGGTTCTGAGAAGGAAAGGATGAAACTTGGAGGTTGATGTTAAACTTTTTTTTTTCTTTTTTCTTTTTTCTTTTTCTCATGCTTGGTAAAAAAGGACGGTGAAGATATTGCGCCTTCATGCAGGGTACAAAAAAGATCGCACCAAAAAAAAAATGATGTAGACAATCTATCCCAACGACCATTTTCTTCTCATGCTTGGTATTGGTACATCTTGGTTGTCCATCAAAGTCCAAGTTAGCTTCTTTTTTAATTTATTTTTATTTATTGTTTTGCCTAGAGACCTAAGGACAAGGGTTGGTGAGAATTAAACTTGCACCATTACTCAATTGTTTGGTTCTCTTTTATTTGGATCTTAGGGATTTGAGATAGGGATTAATTAATTTTATTTTAATTTAACTTCTCCATAATATTATTCTGCCTAAGTGTTACAACTTTGGATGGAAATCCAATAGGGATATGTATGAATTGGTTGGAGTCTTTGGGAGACATTTTTTTGTGGCAGTATTAGTAAATGCAGATACATAGGAATGTCCTTGGATCGTGTAGTATAGAAATGTGATGATAGGAATTTGGTTTTTGAGTACATGATTTGGAGGTATCTCCAGTTCTCCTTACCAAGAAAATGGACCTCGTTGTCTTTCTCTCTCTTTCTGTTTTAGTTTTTAAAAAATATGGAAAACATAAGTTGTGAGTTGTGGGAAGTGATTTTAAAGGTAACTTTTTCTAAACAGAGCCAATTTTGTGACAAATGAGGAAAAGGAGATAAGACCATGGCAAAGTTTTAATCACAATTTTGCGCACAGTCCATCCAGCCAGCAGATAAAGATTAAGGTAAATGTGCCATTTTAGATCCAAAAAATTGGCATTATAAAACATAAGAAACGTTAAAGAAATTAATTTTTGGATTGAATATGGGTTAAATCTATGAATCATGTGATGCAGCAAGCATTCAATTTACCAAAATAGACAGGTGATTTATACGAGGCTACTGAATTATATACAGGTCATATAACAACAACAAGAACATCGTATAATCCCATAAATGTGGTTTGGGGATCGTGGAGAATACATAGTTTTATCCATATATACACAATTTCCGATATACTTATAAGCCACATAATAGAAGGTTTTTTTGAAAAAAAATAATGATAAACTCCCCTGCGAATGATGCCTGTGTTGTTATACCACGTGTAATACAACAAAGAATGTGCCCTTATTCTATTGCAGAGTTTTGAACATGAATATATGGAGCTCAATTGTTCACATGGGAAACTGGGCTGTGTGATCCATTTCACTAGTGGGGTTTTCTTTGAGGCCCATATAGTTAGCTGCGTGTTAGACAATTATATGAAACTTCAGAGGAGTAGATATTGTACTACTACTTATCTTTACTTCGTAATATCTTAATGGCTAGCACAAGTTAAATTCGTTTTTCTTTATTCAAAGTGCAAATGAAAGGAAGACTAGAGTTACTGGTCCTTTCATTTCGAAAGAAGACAAAGTATTGTATAGGTATTACGTAGCATCAATCGCATTCTCCACTAATTACAATATGAATTTGATTTTATTTAATAGAAAGAGATTTTTCAATCCGAGAAGCAGGTAATATATTAAATGGAGTTGCCTAAAATTCAAATGTTTTACATAAATTGAATATAGGTGCCACTTAAAAGGCTTTGTCGATGCTCTACTATATGGGTCAAATGATTTTATAAGTCTTTACAAACTTGTTTTTAGTTTTATGAACCTATATCCTTTTTTTCACATGAAAGATTTACTTTTAAACATAAAAGATTTATTTTTTTTTATACATAAGAGATCTGAAAAGGGATATTTCCTTAATTTCAACACATGGATTTTAATATTTTCTCCTTTCCTAATTTACGGAGCTTGACCGTTTCAATGTAGTTCGAGACTAGAAAGTTTAGGCCCAAAGCAAACATAAGACACATCAAGTTCCAAAAGGTATGTGGCATTTCAAATTGTCATGGGCTAAAATTGTGATCACAGCCCTAAAACCGTACTCTAGTCCATTTCGATATCTGCATAATGGTAAGATTATGACATTTCTTGTGACACTTTTTTATCGAGAATTTGACGCCGTATATCAAACATAGCCTACTAATTGGCCAAAATTAGTTAAATCATTTTCACTTATTTGTATCAAATAGCAAATAAATATATATCACAAATAATAATGTGCATATATTATTACTCTCTCTTTGTTATATGTGAAGGTGTGTATTTATCAATGAAGAATAAATATAGGGAGAGAGAGGGACAGTGAGACGATAAAGAGACAACAAAGAGAGATAGAGATGGGATTAGGGGAGAGAGAATAAATAGAAAAGTAGATTTTTTAGAAATTTGACTATATAATGCTAAATTTTTGGACCGCCTTTACCAAACATAATCTAAGCACGAAAAGTTGTCAATTCCTATTACAGTCAAAGCTCTCTATATCACTATTGTTTGTTCTGATATTTATTTTTTACTTTTATAGTGAATTGTTATTATACACCTATAATGATATTTGACATTTAAATATTTTTTAGATGTTATAAACAAAAATTATCTAAAAATTAATTTTCTAATGTTACATAAAAAAATAAAGAAAATATTTAAATTAAATACTCAAAAAATATACATATTTCACGAATTAAATATTAAAAATGACTTATACATTATTAATAAATTCATAACTAAATATACACTAATTATAAAATCTAAGGAACATATTTTAAAGCTCCTAAAAGGTTAAATTCATTCAATATTGATGGAAGAACTCTATAATTGTAGCTTGTTACGTAGATTCCAGTCTCTACTAGCGATATAATGCTTGAATTGACGAAGATTTGTGTCCAAACTTTCAGCAAAAAAATATCTGATACCTTTCCCTTGAAGACAATTTAAGAGTTTAACAATTGAATATTCTATCTCAATCTAAGTAGCAGTAGTTTGAGGTCAAAATTTTTAAAAGTTTGAGGTCAAAATCTTTAAACTTATTATTGGTGATCTTAGAGATTTTACATAGTTGCTATAGAGGGATAATTTTACAAAGAGCGTACTGCTATAAAGATGAATATAATTTTTATAGGTAAAAAACTATTACAGAGGGGTAAAGTCTAACATAGAAAATTAATTTTAAGAAAAATTTACTTTTATGATAAATAAATATTATATAAGGAGTAGGTAATCATCATCTTATGTCAATTTCTCATCTTAGTTTACAAGGATTACCTCATCAGCGCTTGGACTTATTGGGCTGCCCAATTAACCGTACAATCACCTGGCCCAATAGTACAGCCACCAATGCATAGCAAGGTTTGGTCTCAATAGCTTTTTGCACGAGTACAGCACAAAAAAAGTCATAATACACCGTCCATTCTACAACAGTAACACGTGTCCTCCATCGGCGCCAAAAGTGAGATTTCATTTCATTCTTTCCTAACAAAAAAAATCTGTTATTCCAAAAAGATATATTTTCTGATTATTCTCTTTCTACAACCAAAAATCCTAATCCTTATTACAAAGGTTCTTCTTCTTTGCTGTTTGATTTTTTCACGCTGTTTTTGGCTGCTGAAGTAAATTGCAATTCTATTTATTCTCCATTTTCAACAATTTTGCTTATTATTTTCAGGTTTGACTATGGCGGATGAAAACATTACCAACGGCGAGGTTTATGACGATGCGCCGGTGGAGATCGCCGTCGACGAAACATCTGACGCTGCGTCGAAAACCTCTGCACTGAAACAGAAGATAGCGGCGCTGGAGCAAGAGAAATCCCAGCTTTTTCACGAGAACGATGTGATCAAACAGAGAATCGAGAAACTGAAGAGCTCAATCGAGGAATCTCAGAACGAAAAATCCAAATTGCTGAAGAAGGTGGAAAACTTCGAGTCGGAGAACAAGGTTTTAGGATCAGTAGCCGCCAGAGCCGCCGAGCTGGAAACTGAAGTCTCTCGCCTTCAACACGATCTCATCACGGCTATGAATGATCTAGAAGGCTCCAATTCCGAGCTCTCAGGGGCAAAATCGACATTAGAGGGTTTAAAGAGCAGCGAAAATGAGAAGACCGTGAAACTGGACGCTATTGAGAGCGAAAGGAATCTGTTATTATCGAAGTTGGAAAAACTAGAAGCGAGTGGAAATAATCAGAGAGGAGAAGTAGAAGTGAAAGAAGAAGAAATTAGGGGATTAAAGAAGCATATTGAGGAACTTGAGGGTACTGTTGTGAATAATGAGGAATGGGAAAAGGAGAAGAAAGAGCTTCATATGGTGAAGGAGGAATTGGAGAAGAGGGTTAAGGAAATGATTGCGAGAGCAGCTGAGCTGGAGAAGAAATTGGAGGAAAAAGAAAAGGTTATTACTGAAAGGCTTGTGGCTAGCAATATTAATGGCATTCCTGTTGGTGATTATGATAAGGTTGGTTATTTTGGTGCTGAAGTGAATTTGCCAGTGGTGGCTGCTTCATCAGTTGTTGCAGTTGCTGTGATTGGAGTTGTTTGCTATCTTAAATACGGACGAACAGCGTAAACCCTTAGCTTGGTCTTAAATAAGTTTACAATTTTGATAGCGCTTTTATTATCTTGGGCTATTAGTTAACTTTTTGATCTTACTCGATAATAGATTTAAGGTATTATGGTTATTAGCTAGTGTTGTTGAAGTATGTTTATTCGCTAAGCTGGAGTTGATTGACATATTTTTATTGGTGCTTCTTTACTCATTTCCAGGAGTTTGAATACAATGGTTTTGTTGTTTTTGCGATGTTGTGTAATTGCTCAAAGAGTTGCTGAATCTATATGTAGTAATGTGTTTGTGTTGAATGACTTCAATTTATTGTCTCGGCTTCCTATAGTGTTGGTGCTATATCTCTGTGATGTGAGTTGTTTCTATGCAATCACATGCCAATCTTTTCGTGGGTTTAGTTTCCCTCTGGTTGAATTAGTAACTGATGCCCCTTCCACAATTGTGCTTCAATGTGGAGAAAACAAGTCAATGATCCATATTCTGTACATGTCTTATGTTGCAGTAATGCTTCCTTCTTTGAGAAGTATATTCTGATTTTGCCATGAACTTGCTGGGCTCTAGTTTGTTTAGTTGATTATTACCATCAGCTTGTGAATATTAGCACCTCTTATCTCCTGTGTGGGTCCTTTTTTCCCCCTCATTTTATTATGTGGATTGGGAGTGACTGTTTCCAGCCTTAGGAAATTAAGTTTGACTTAAAAGCTCTATCCATCATGTGGAGTAGAGAGTTCCCTCACACCGCAACTGCCTAAATTTAGAGCTATTTGTGCTTCTGTAAAAATATAACTGTTCTAAGGAAGCAGGTCTGGAGGAGCAAATAGCTGGCTATTTTATTGACAAATATCAAGCTGCATATTAGTCTGGGTAGTGCTAAACATGGCGTTATATGTATGTTTCTGTTTCGTATGTAGCCTGAAAATTCGCGCTGAGTACCTGGTTAGGCAGATCTGGATACGTTCAAATATATAGTTCTTCAGATGTATCTGATATTCCTTGTTATTTCTTTAACATTGGCCATTTTTCCTTATTTGCTATCAGCTGTGTCAATTCTTGAATTTGGATTGGTGGTTTCACGTTTTTAAGATGACCAGTTAGTAGCCCCCCAGGGCTTAACTCGAGTGGCAAAGGTTCACGGACTCAGGTTCGAGCCTTGTACTATGCAAATTAAGCTTAGTATTTAGATAGAAAATGGTAGAATGAGGGGCACCATCATTCCTAAGTTTCGAATGCTGTGGTTAGTCCTAAGTGTTGACCCAAGACCGATTTCTCGGTCATTAGAAAAAAAATGACCAGTTAGTTGTTGGCCTGTTGCCTTTGAAATGCAGGGTAGCTACTACTCGTATGTGGTGGTGTAGCTTAGGCCTCTCTGGCTCTGTTGGAAAGTTATCTTATTCCGCTCTTGTGGTTTTAAACAAGTTTCTTGAAATCGTGCTAGAAAAGTGACTGCTAGCTGAAGTGTGATAATAAAAACCGGTCTCTTTACCCTCTTATATCCTGAGCAACAGGTTACGATATTGTTGCTGATATGTGTTGACTAAAACACTGATGAATCAGGGTCTTATTGCAGTTTTAAAAACTGATGAATTCTATACGCAGGATCTTGAAATTGGCTCTTATAGATCCTCCTAGTTGGTCTAGTGTCGAATAGAATACTAGATTTCAGACTAGTATACAAGACTAGATTCGTTTTTATTTGTCAGTATGTAGGTAAACTTTAGGAATCTAGAACTGCAAATCCCGGCCCAGGCAATAGTAGTTTCGACTCCCAAGAAATAGAGCATCAGATTGCTAAAAATTACATGCAGTAGCATAAAGAAAATAGTTGTGCAACTAATTTTTACAGTAACAAAAAGAAAGTAGAAGTGCATTGTTAAACTTCGAAATCCTATTATCTATAAAGTGAAGTAAAAACGACATACATTTGATTGGTCATGATTTATAGCTTGTGTTGGTCCAAATTCCAGAAATGAGATGCTTTGAATCTTACACCGTTCTACAGGTTTTGTCGTAGCTTGAAGTATTTTAGCAAACAATTCTGTCATAGTTATATATTCGCTGCATATTGCAATGGCCGAAAGTATATTATCAAATAACTAAACAAACGTTATTCATTAAAAGCCAAGCTACTCAGAAAAAGATCAATCACCAATCTCTACAACAAAAACAGAAGGGGTCTTTCAAATATTTCCCGTATCTCGAATCATTTTAGGATTGTACTCTTGCCAAAACCTTCTCTTCTAGTTTTATACTCCGTTTTAATTATTTATAGGTTAAAGCCATTTTACTATTTCTACTTCAAATTAACTGCAACATGTCGCAACTTCATCACATATTAAAGCAAAAAAAACAAAAAGAAAGAAAAGAAGAAGAATCGCATAAATTTTTTCAAGTTACCAGCTCAACTTTCTTTAACTTGGAACAACATGATTTTTTTATAGGATGATCCAAATGAAAACCGAACGTACAGTTTAAGAAGAAATCAATAATAGACCCAATCACCCAAACACGAAAATTTCAACTACATTATACTGCTTTTGTTCTCTCAAACTTATTTATAGCCTGTTTGGCTAAGCTTCTCTAAACCTCGAAGTACTTTTTTTAAAGAAATTTACATAGAATACAATTTATTTAATACTTATTTAAATAAGTTACAACTACTATAAGAAAATTAAATACATACAATTTTTTATTTTAAAAAAAATCTACAACATTTCATATCCCTAATATATCTCTCTTAATTGAATTAACAGTACTGACTCCTTAATTTTCTCCTTCATTAACTAGATAAGTGCAATATTCAACCTATTTCAAACTTATCACAACACACCTTTTCTCTTTAATATCCAATTATCTCCTCTCACCATACCATATTGAGAAATCAACAAGCATTCTCTTCCACAATTTCATGGAAGTAAAATTATTCTCTTTGAACTTAATTTCATATGCTCGTTTGAGCACTCAGAGGAGTCAGCCAAATTACTTATAATTGGAAATAATTGTCCTATTATCCATAGAAGCAGAAATGAACAACAAATCCAACAAGAAGAAGATGTCGCTGTTGAATTTGGATTTCGGATCTTCAAACTTATTTTGATCGTTTGTCTTTCACACCCATGGTATTCTTTTTCTTCCCCTTTCGTTTTCTACTAAATTCAACCAATTGTTAAATAGATAAAAGTTGACATTTTTGAATTTATTTTTCTGAGAAGTTACCGTGGTTCAACATTTTTATTTGAAAGTGATAATGATGAATCATGCAGTATCAAGTATTAAAGGCAAAATACCAAAATATTTATGTATAAATTTGGTATAATATATGTAGATATATTTTATATGCTTACAATATATGTAGATATTAAGTACCATAATATGCATATAGTATATATGAATACATTATTCATATACAAATATATGTATTTACAGAATATATTTAAGAGCTCTATTATCTATATAATATAAAGAATATTGGATTTAAGAGGACTATATATAGTATATTTATAGTACATTGTATATAATATATTAATACTATGTATAATATACAATTTCTTTAAGTATATTGCATATTTTAGGTAGAAAGTATATTATTTTATTTAGATATGTTATTTAACCATTATTTCTTATATAAAATACATATTATATTCTATTATTTATTAATACATTTAAATATATAACTTATACAATATATTAGAATATATCTATACCACGATGTAAATAGTATACAATATACTGTCAGTTACATGCAATAGTGCAAAAAGATATATTATTACTCGATGAACATAAATTACATATGGTGTAATCTCTCACCTTTTTTTAGTGAAAGCCAAAGGACATCTTTTGAGAGATGATTCATTGTATTTGAGTTATAATCAATTTGGTTAGGCAAAATTTTAGGGATTTACAAGTTTTATAAGAAACTAATATCTACTGGAATTCTACTGGATTGTTGTTATTTGTTGTTATTAAGAAACTAGTATCTATGAACGTGCGTTGTATGTTAATAATTGCACGTGATGGTTTAAACATTTATTCATATGACAGAACAAAATTTTTTATTAATGAGAGAAATTTTATGTATAATAATACAACAATGATCTAAATGCCGAAAAGTAATTAAATTAACATAATACGTGAATTTTAAAAAGGAAATCATCAGAACTTACAAAATTGATCAATTTAGTCATGTTAGTTAGATAATTATATATTATAGTTTAAAAGTATTTAATATGATGGTATCACGACCCAACCGTAGGGACGCGACGGGCACCCGGTGCCTAACTCAACCGAGTACCAACGTAACGTATCCTTCTTATTATACTATCATGGAAAAATAAACCGGAAAGGCCGTCATGAGATAACGAGAATTAAACATAAGAGAATACTCGACATGGGATGACCCAACATGATATAGAAGCTTATGCATGCGACATACGGGCCTATAAGGCCGACACGATCATTTGTATATTCAAAACATAGGCCGACAAGGCCATACAAGTATCCATATACATGACATCTTTCTACAAGCCTCTACGAGTACATAAATATTATAAAGTTCGAGATATGGTCCCACCATACCAATCAATACATGTCCAAACCATACTAACCGGATAGGCAACTCCGGAGCAAGTGGAGTACACTAACACCTTCCACTGAGCTGATAGCCTACTAGGAGGACTCTCAACCTGTCTATCGGGACCTGCGGGCATGAAACACAACGTCCCCAGGAAAAAGAAACGTCAGTACAAATAAAGTACCGAGTATGTAAGGTATGACAGTAGTATATAAAAGACATGAAAGAAACATGGAGTAAAGAACTCAACCTGTAATTCTGAATAGCTTTGTGAATCATGAATTTTTTTTAATGTCATGCATGTACGTATAAATGCCATACCATGCATAGGTATATGCGTACATAATATTATCAAGCCTCTGAGGGCATCCCATCATATCATCTCAGCTACTGTGGGCGAAATCATCAACGTATACCAGCTGATCAGGTGGTGGTGCATATATAATGCCATAACCTTTTTCCATATCCCATATATATATAATATATGCGTATATAATGCCATCTGGTCATGGGTCAATGTACATGCATAAATGAATGCAATGCATAATGAAGTAAGCCAGTAAGACTTCTCGGAATGTCATAAAATCAATATGCTTTCGGATAAACTTTAGCAACTTACGTATTTTTCTGATACCCATGAATAGAAGATATAATAATAGGATACATGGGGAATCAAGAACATAGGTACCCCTAGTACTTCTAAGAATAGAGTCATTTGTGAAAGTTATG